TAAAGACTTGCGTCGTTAAAGTTTCGTCGGAACGAAGTTACGGAAAGTTAATTAACAAACGGAGACGTAACAATATAAATTTGTACTTATTTATATCTTCTCGTGTCATAATGCTAATAGTCTCGTTTATATTCCTTACTGATAATCTCTTTTTACATTTACTTAGTTTTACTAGTATTAGCACTTACGAAAAGTTAAACACGCTCATACTTTTCAATATTAAAAGTACATTTGTAGAAATATTCTATTTTCTGTTCATAAGTTCATGAGCTTAGACTTTTCCCATTAAATAAAAATACAAGTTTCGGAAAAATATTACGAGCAATTTTATCTAATTTTCTTAAATTCAGAAAAATTCAAAGAAATCTTAATGCTTTCGACACGGACACATTAGAGTTATCGTTGTTTTTAATTTGATGCACCAAACTTTTTCGTCCTATGTGCTTTTCGCAATCGTGATTTAATTTTCTCATTTACTTTCATATTTGGAAATTTTTGGTTTCCGCTCCCGTCTGAAGTATAAAAAAGTTACTATTTAAAACCAAATTTCTATGCGCCTAATAAACATGGTTTGTTTAAAAGTAGAACTTTAGTGATTCTAAAAATAAAAACCAAAACTCTTAAAATTTTATTATCACAAATAGTACATTTTGAATTTTTTCTATTAAAGACAAAACGTTTACTTTCTAGATGATATGTCTAAACAAACTGAATCCAGCAGTGATAGAGTTTTAGTGCTAAACGTAATAATCGATGATTCTCTTACATTTTTATATTACAAACCACAATGAAATCTACACATTATGCTGTTGTTTCCTTCCGTTAATTGTACCAATTTTCCATGAATCACCAGAAGAGAGCCTGTTTATGATGCTATTAAATTTAGTAATTTTGTTATAAGTTTGTTTTATAAATTGGTAATTCTTTCTTCAGGAATGAACTCCCTACTTAAAATAGAAGGTGGTTAGACCATTCTCCTATGAATCCCAAGTCATTTTATTTGTTTCTTAGATACTGTTGCGTCAGCGAAGTCACATGACTAGTGTCACGCCACGTTTCTAGAACTATCCTGTACCTTGACGAATGCTCTAGCATTTACTAGATATAGGGTAGTCTGGTATATAAAAAGAGGGTGACAACGTGGCGGGACAATAATTTGTGTGCAG